GTTGGTGCACGTACAACCGACATGAAAATCTGGCTGGTCAATTTAGGTGCTGATATGGTGGGGTAGTTAGTCGTGCTGATTCACGTCTACTAACAAGGTCGCCGCAGTCTCAGTTACACGTCCCCTTTTCGCGGCCTGCTCGTCAGCCATACGGGACCGTCTGCTCATTCACACCTGTGCACCAGCCACGCATACCCGCTTTATTCATCTGACCATTTAGACATTTGCACCTTTACGAGCTCGCCCGGATTGTATCAGTCATGCACTACCTTCAATGCACTCCCTCGACACAGCACAATCTGGCTGAGCTATCGAATAAACGGTTCCCTCTTTCTTGTCTCATTTCTTCTTTGAATGCTTTGCGTTGTTTTGGACTGCAACGGAGGTTTGGCGAATAGCTGTGCGGACCTAACTATATTACCATAAACGTGGGTGTTGTATTAGTCCTTATGATTCACAAAATGAACGTCATTTTCAATCACATGGCCTGGATCGTTCTTTGTCCGAAACCCATTCTGAAGAAAATGAAAAAACTGTGAAGTAAAACCCCAACTAAAATATGTGGAATAGCCCATAAGCATGGCTCTAATTTATTTGAAGGTCCTGAGCAGATATAGAAGTTCAATTACTCTCGGAGCGGTAGTCACTATAGCGTTCCAATCAGATGACCTTCCCAGGTTTGCATAAAATATAGAAATCCCAAAAAAACAGACTGAAAATTAGTTGATAAAGTCAAATGTGGAGGCTAGTTTTAAGGGTATTTAAAATCTAAAAATATCCAGAAAATATAGAGGATCAGCTTGTCTCATTGATTAATATTGAATTGAACATTTGAAGCTGGTTGTTACACTCTTCTCTGGACTCAGTACTCTGGCGCTGTGACCAATACGTTACTGAAGTGGTCATTTGTGTGAATTAGACTTGTAGGGTTAGAGTTTGATCCCACGTCAGGTTAGGCTTAGTTTGTTGAAGCACAGCTGTAGCATTGAAATTTTAATCCAATAAAGTATCAGTTGCAGAAATATAGGCTAGGAGAACTTTGGGTCATTGCAGCAGTTAATTAGTTATTGAGTTTCCTCTCGCGATGCACGCCCTGGCCCAGACAAGTAATATCAGGATTCATCAGTATCGCATCATCTGAAAAGCAGAAATAATTGATTTGGTTGGCTATAAGAGGAAAGTCTGTGCTAATCCTGTTTAATTCATACAAGAAGCTGCGTTGTGGTCAGTAGCTGCCAATAGAGGTTTCTCACAATTAAGCCATCACCAAAGTCAGTTTTGGCTCTAGCATTAGCCTGCAAGTTTCTGAATGAATTCACTTTTCTTCGGTGGACGCGTTTTATGACTTTTAATAGATATTTAATTCTACAGGTTTTCATACTGTTCAGTTTTATCACGATTTAATTGATGTGGCGAGTTCGAATTAACATATTTTTCATTCTAGCTCCATTGTAATTCAAAACCAGCACTAAAATTATGCTGCTATTGCACGAAATCATAAATTTATTGGGCACCATAATGAGATGATGTTAATGGCCCACTTTCACTAATCTTATTTTACAACCATTGAGTTCTACTAAGGGAAATCAGAAATACCAATCTGACAAATAATTGAGTTTACACAACACTGACTATACTTTATCCCACGGTTCTGCATGGAGAATCATGTTTCAGGAATTCTAGGATTTTGAGCTGACCGAAATGTCGTGATCTGAATAAAACATGATATTTAATCTAATTTGGATCACCAAGAGAAAACTTGAAATAAACCTTGAGAGGTGAATCAGCATTCAGTGAAAAGTAAGGGAAAGGATTACATCAAGAATTGAATGGATTATCTAAAGTCTTAATAATACAGCGGCCAAACCTACTCATTATTCGTTTGTGCCGACATAGCAAACAGGAGCACAATAACGTACAATTTCCATCAAGGTAAACAAAGAGGCTGCAAGTGTCTTTTCTTAGCCCGTTCTGTTAAGGAGGTTTTGAAGTTACCAGGGTGCTCCAGGCGAGAGAGTGAATGCCGGACTAAGCTGATCAAGGCGAAAATGTTGCCGATTACGACTCTGGCCTCCGGCGGGTGAGATTTTGACAAGATGCATCTCAGCTGGGGCTTTGGAGCCAAAGTTATTTTGCCGCAGACGAAACTCAGGATCGTTGAATCCACCAGTAGGGAAGGCGGGGATTGAAAACACAGAACATGGGACAAGGTGAGGCAACCAGCTGTACATAACCTGCAATTTGCTCGTTGGACAAGATGTGATCTTGGGGTGTGTGCGTGGGCGTATTGATAGATCACCTTGTGGATTAGTGCTGATTAGTGACAAGTGGAAACCAACAAACAACTAGGACCAAGATTTTCATGCCAACCGTCTGCACATAAACCTGCTGAGACAAGATTCTACTGATGAGTCTCTGAGCGCCGCACATTCCCTTTCACTTATTGGAGATATACTAGAACATTTAGTTTATGTGTACGATATAAAAAACAGCAAAATATGATTTCCAATGAGCTAGCAACTAAGTGGGGCCTGAAGATGCCTGTTTACATAAAGAAAACCAAACAAACATTTGTCTAAATTCCCAGGCGGCAGCAATTATGAATTTCCACTTGATAATCACGAAGCTGTAAGCTGCAGAGGAGACGATTCCTTAGATCCAATCATGGAGGTCAGAACCTAACACATTTGAAAGTTCTCTAGAAGTGCAAATGTCACAATTTAAGAACGCCAATGCTTGAAAACAATGTTGTTAATTAAAAAATTTCATGACACTGACGTGCGTATTCCATACCGAATCCTATCGTGGAGTTATTTGAATTGGCACCTGGTTCGTTAATTACATGCATTTAATGCACCTTGAGAAGACAACAGCGGATCTACAACG